CTTGACTTTGGCGAGTCATCGGTGAGGGTTTTGGACCAAGGCACGACGAGGCTGAGAAAACTGAGTCAGTAATAGGAAGAACCTTAATCTTCCTGCCCAATTTTTATTCCAGAGGTAACAGCTGCAATAGTCATAGTGGATGAAAAGTTGTTTGATGTTTCCAACTGCACACGAGGCTGCAGTCACTTCGGCTTTCCAGCAATCTGACAGCAAACTGCTTGAGGTGGAATGATGAACTTGTTGTAATAGAGTTTCTGGCGACAGTGAGGCATTGAGAGCACGGGCTGATAGTAATGATGATATCAGTCACTGTGCAAGCGTGAACTGATAGATAGACGTGTCTGCTGAACGTTCTGAAGGCAGGCAGACAGCGGCGAGCACGAGCGCTGTCAACATTACAGGAGCATATGCAGATTTTACTCAACTACCTAATGTTCCGACATGCAGCCTCCAAGGTCGCCAATCAGTGTGTTAATATCGTGTTGCATTTTGCAGTGATGTGTCATCTTAAAGTGTCTTAAACAGAGAAACCAGACGACAACACACATACAGCAAGGAGGCTGAGGTCAGTGTGACAAATGGTTGATGGTTGCTGCTTGGCTACTTCAAGCAAAAACCTGTGCACCACTTCTAATTTTCACAAAAATTTAAAAATAAAAAAAATATTAATATATTACATATAGCATTAAATCATGGGACCATCATCTAGCATTATTTTTTTTTATCATGAATTGTCAAAAATTCAAAGCAAACCTTGTGTATTCAAGGAGAGGAAGAAACATTTGTGTTTTTGCTATATTTTACCTGAAAATAAATCAACAATAACAACATAAGTGTTCATTTTCTGTGAATGGACGAGCTGATCAGAGAACTATCCATTTCTGCTCTTTTTAGGCTTCAGGAACACACACAAGCAGAGACACCAGCTCACACTGCGCAGCCTGCGTATCCAAGGCTGCTCTTTAAGCTGTCATCCACTACCTACACTGATAATAAGTCTTCTCAGGATATCTCTGATTCAGCTCAGCAGGTGACCAATTGGGCTCAGCAAATACACAAAACAATTTCCAAGCGGAGATAACCTGAACCCTATTTGGTTAAATGCTTGCCAGCATTAAATGCAAAGATGCATTTAAACCTCTGAATGTTTTGCATGTAATTTCCATTCAAAACACCCCCACCAACTTCCCATCTGCATTTAATTTGGTCAAGTCTGAACTCACTGATGTCACACAAGACCACTGGAACTGAGAGAGCGAAATGAATACCGAGGATAAACAGTTTTAATTAATTTAGAAGAGCAGAACTTCAATATTATATATTCATAACATATCAGCTTAAGATACATTTAGATTTTATTCAGAACTAAAAGCTAATCAGGTTGATTCTCTATTTCCATAAAAAAAAAAACCCTGCGTGAAATGCAAATACAAACAGAAAGCAATGATTTGTGCTTCTCATAAACCCATATCGTATTCACAGCAGTACACAGAAAATATATCAAATGTTTAAACTGAGACATTTTACTCGTTCATAAAAAGTATTAGCTCATTCTGAATTTGATGGCAGCAGTACGTCTCAAAAACGTTGGGACAACAAAAAGCTGGAAAGGTAAGTGGTACTAAAAAGGAAACAGCTGAAGGAACATTTTCAACTAAATTGGTTAATTGGCAGCGGGAGTGTAAGATGGGCAAATGGGTTTCAAATGAGCATCTTAGAGAGAGCCTTTCTGAAGTAAAGATAGCCAGAGTCCATCTATCTGCAAAAACCTGCATCTACAAATTGTAAAACAATTTAAGAATAATATTCCTGCATATAAAACTGTGAAGATATCTCATCATCTACAGTACATAATATCATTAAAAGTTCAGAAATCTCTGTGCGCTAGAGATGAAGCAGAACATATTGGATGCCTTTGGTCTTCAGGCCTGCAGGTGGCACTGCATGAAAAACAGACATGATTCTGTCATGGAAATCCTTGCCATATGCTCAGGAACATTTCTAGTCATCACTCTGTGAAAACAGCTCACAAATGCAGGCGCTCTGTGTGCAACGAAGAAGCCATATGTAAAGATGATCCAGAAATGCAGCCAGCTTCTTTGGACCCAAAGTTCAATTAAAATGGACTGAGGCAAAGTGGAAAACTGTTCTGCGGTCAAACCAATGGAAATTTTAAATCTTCTTGGAAAATGTGGACACTGCATTCTCTAGACTAAAGAAGACAGAGACCATCCAGCTCAATTAGAGAACATTAGAGCCTCTGGATTTGGCAGCCTGCACAGCACGATCAAGACCTTCAACGGCGAGAGGAATGTACAGGTTTTAGAGCATCGTATATTCCCATCCAGAGGACATCTTTTTCAGAGAAGGCCTTGCAAACTTTGGTAAGACAATGATAAACTGCATATTACATCTATTACAGTAACATGACTTCCTAGCCAGAGTCTGGCTGCTGAACCAACTGAAACATTTGATGAATCAGGAAATAAAAAATACAGCAGCAATAAAGCAGACTTCCTGCATCAGACTGGTGTTAAAAGAAGAATAAACATGACCCCGTTCCAACTCGTGAGACTTATTGCAATCAAACTCATAGCAAAACATAAAATAAAATGAGCTCAAATAAGCCAATTTCAATGGAAACTAAGGAAAAGATTTCCTGTTCCAATGCATAACTTGGACCAAACTCTCCACAATGTCAAGCTCATGACGGTAGAGCTTCTGGACACGTGAGTCACATGCGAGCCTTTTTTCTATCTGATTCTTCAGTCTCAGATAATAATACAGTTGAAGGGAAATATGCAGTCAGGTATAATTGATCAGGAATCAATAAAGAATACGACTTACAATATATGAAGATAATAGAGGTACTATCAGTAGTATCTTATCTATCTTTACCGCAATCTCAGTAAGTCAGTTTCACTCCCAAGTGCATCATCCAGCACACATGCTCACAACACACGAAAAAATTGAGAGAAATTATCACTTCCTAGACTATTTAATCAAAGCGCGTTATTATCCCTTAGTTGCTGACAATATACAGAGTACCAATGGGATGCAAAACAAATGGCACTTGTCTGTCTTTGACTATAACGACACACGACATGCCTAACTAGGACATGTACTGACTATGCCAAAAGCCTGTAAACGAGAGTGAGGACTGAGGGGAAAAACAGCTCTGGGTTCAAAGGTTTAGCAATCACTGCATCACTGCAGGGACCAGAAATGGACTCAGAAATATACCCCTTCTGATGTCTGTGTAGTCTCCTCATATGCTATTTACAAAGATCTCATGTTGTTTTGTTTGTGTTTGTTATACATTCATTCAAATGTGTTTTTAAGGCATGTTGTTGAAGACTTTTATTGCATCTTAAATCTGTACCTCCCCCAATATCAGCAGCAGTTTCAAAGACACTATTGGGCTCTATCAAAATCAAACAAGCATACAGTTTAAAGCCCCTGTATTTTATGAAACTACCCACACACACACACACACACACACACACACAAAAGACAATATCACACTGCTGAAAAATATCAACAACAGTCTTTATGATTGTGCTGAGAGCAAAAGTTCCCCTAACAGAGTAAGTCACAGGCTGCCAAAAACAACCAATGCCAAGACTACTGAAGGCCAGTAAGACGCTGTCATTTATTAATTAACATGACCTTTATTTTACTAAGACCTCGATGCCCACATTGTTCTTGACTTACTCCAGGCCGAGACACTGCAGCCCTGAATGGCTGTTTGTACAACCCACAAGGCTACTTCATAGAGATTTTTACTGCATACAATATGACATGCTTGACAGAAGCTATTTAGTAACTACTACCAGTCACAGAAGGAAAAAACAATAATAACCCAGAGCTCATTCAGCTGCTGTTATACCATGAGTCTGTCAAGAGGCGAGACTCGAGATTGAACATTGAAAATTTGTGAAATCATGCTGATCTCAACAAGTCTTCCCAAAATCTCTATTTCGCCACAATGGGAACCAGTGACTCTTCAGCCATAAAATGAACACTGTGTGCCAGAAACCAGAAGTACTAGAATATGCAGAGACAGCACTATAAGTCCTCATAGTAATGGGCACATGATCTCTCCACAAATTAGGGTCCACTACTTAAGTCAGTGATGTCTGGCAGCGCACAATGGCAAGCTATTTACAAAGTTATTAACATCGCCAATCCCCTGCTGTCATCTTCTGCTGAAATGGTTATCTAGGCAGGGTATGATGAAAGCTAAAAGCCATTTCATATGCCTTCGCAGACTATGGAGGTAGATCAATGTGCCTCTTCTCACTGAGAAAATAATAAGGCGATGCATTACACACAATCACGCACGACCTCATACTCAGTACTCAGTACACAACGAATGCGAGGAAGTCTGAAATGGCAGAAAATGTTATGTTTGAAGTAGACATTTATTGGTGTATCCCAGCTGCAAGTGTATCCCCCTGTGTGTGCCTCCAATGTTAAATACAATGATCCAAAATAACGTCACTGCAAATGCAAATGAGAGCGACTTTTTTTCTCCCCCTCTTCCTTTTATTTGAAAAGCGTCAATGAGATGCGGGGAAACGAGCGGCCGAGGAGCAAATATCCACTACCACTAACTTTAAAGTGGCGGAAAACGCGGAAAAAAATCATGAATAAAGATTTTTGAGTGAAAATGTTTGAGGCAAACTCGACGGAGCTCAGTCCACCTTGCACGGACTTGCGCAACAAAGTTTCCCGTTAGGAGTTAAGGGAGAAATGAATTCGGGAACAACGATGCCTGTCTCCTCCCAAAACTCGGATTTAAAGCAAACAAACAAACATATTATAAACAGCTCAACGCAACTGTGTCAACTTCGTCTTGGTGGCAAACAGCATATCGCACAGGCGCAAGAGTGCAAACGATACACAAAACATTCCCAGCACAGGCGAGAAACTCGATGGTGAACTCCAAACAGCAGGCTCGGTGCTCGGGAAACGGAACGCAGAGCGGCCGTACTTACACTGGAACCACAAAGTAGTGCGAGCAGTCCCGCAGAAAACAAGTCCACGATCCTCGGCGCTGCGCGGTCCGAGCTCCACATCCAGCAGGCTCATTCCCTCCTCTCCTCCTCCTCCTCAGCTCGCCTCTACAGCTGCTGGATAAGTTTGCTGACGTCAACAAGCACTCAGTCTCAGCCGCCAAAGCTCTTTGGTGGAATAATACATGGAAAAGGAGGGGAAAGACGCGACCGGAAAGACCCGGGGAGGCAGCCATGTACGTTAGAGGTTGCTCATGCAAGACAAGGGCCGAAAAAATAAACAAACAAACAAGCCAGAAAATTTCACCACCTGTTATTATTAAAAAAAATATATATATATATATATAATGTAATGAAGTAGAGTTTAATAAATGCTCAAAGCGTTAGTACTGCTAAATAAATGCATCACTTTACCACTACTAGTGTGCTCCAGTTAAGTGGATTTACTTTTGGTGAGCAATTTGACTTTACTCACCAAAGTAAAGTCAAAATAAATAATTTAACCTATCAGCATTTACTTATCTCTAGTTGCTAGTTTTGACCACATAGAATAAAAGTTGGATGTGTATGTGCAGCCTCTGGGTCTGAAATGTGCAACCAATAGGAAAGCGTCTTAACCCTGCATTCTTTTTGATAGACACCAGGGGGCGATAGCTATGGTTACTAATAGTGTGGGAAGATGGCACTCATACTAGACCTCAGAAACACCTTCCTGGTGAGTTTATGGGATCTGTTTGTCATTTCTGAAAATGTTGTTTTTATCCCTTAGTTTCATAAAAGGATAGACTCATGGGTCATTGGCTCAGGTGACAGCTCGGGTTTAGAAGTTTGGAGACTAAGGTTGAGATGGTTTGGCATGTTTATCTTGGAGAGAGGTTAATATTGAGCTGTTACGCAGGAAAAAAAGAGGAAGACCTCAGAGGGGGTTCCAGGATCTAGTGAAGGAGGACAGGTTGGTGTGACAGAGGATGATGCTAGAAAAAGGGTGAGAAGATTCACTGTGATGTCACTAGCTGAAATCAAATGTGTCTGATATGTCTGCTATTAGACCAAAATTTCTGCCTCCTTGTATACAGCAAATTATCATATTTAGCTTTGCTGTTTGCACTCATGGCTGGCTGCTCATAACTTTATGCTGTCAAGAAATTGGCTAGCTAGTTTGACCAAAAATCAAATGAGCAAGTCAGTTTTTTTAAGGAGCTTGCTATTACAAGAACACGTTTAGCTAACTTCTTTTTATTGTTTTTATGCTAATCTTTGCTGTATCGCTATTTTAAAGCTAAACCATCGCTAGCTAACTAATGAAAAATTTAGACCGCATTTTTTTTCTGTGGCAAATCTGGAATCTTTGTGCCGAGAATAAAGGCGATGATGTAAAATATCAGCATAAGATTATAGTAAATATATTACATAATAATTTACCTCTCAATTAAAAGTAAATTACTTATTCATTAGCAAACTACAGACTGAAAATATGTTTAGTAAAATATATACTAATATTCTTAAGGTTCATGATCAGTAATCACCATGTGATAATATATACTTAATTTATCCCAAAAGTTGTACAACCTCGAAAATAATTAGATAATCATTATCATTAAAATGATAATGTTCAACAGATACAGTGGAGAAGCCTGCTGCTCTTCTTCTCATCTTTTAAGTATGATGTGAAAATATGATCATCATTATGAGCAGGGTGCATTTTTGCATTTTGACTCATTTGACATGAAGTATTTTATGTTTTGCACTAAATTAAATTACTTCTATTCAAAAAATGTAAATGCCCCAAAAAAGTTTTTTGTTTATAAAGCTAATTTCAGTGTAGTTAATAAGCAACCAAAATTTAAAAAAATCTGAAAATGTTATTTTTTAAACATTATCATAGTACAGTGATAGACTGAAACATCTGTATCAGGAGATCTGTGGGGCTGGCACTGCTTTATGATACCCAGCTATGAGTGTGTCATATTGTAGTGCTACGAGAAACATTAACAGGAATTTAAAATGTCTCTATTATATAATTGATTTTTTTCCTTCAGCAGAGCGATTTAAAAAGACAGCTATACACAGTTTACAAATCCAAGGTCCGGCCTTGATGATAAATTTTAAAGGGCAAAGTCTTTGCTGTGTCTCAGTGTCATTATTTCTAGTTGCTACTACACAGTCCTATTTTCAATTATACTTCAAATGTGCTTTCCAGGTAAACTACGTATCGAGGAGACGATAAAGTTGGAGAAAGGTTACAATGAACAGAGTTTTCCTTTTTTATGTCAAGGGTAAGCAAGCCCAAAATGTGAGGGATCCATAAATGGGCTCGCTAGATTCGAAACAGATCTTTTCATGATGGTAGAAAAGTAATTGCAACAATACAAAGCCCATTACACAAATCAAGAAAGACACTCCAACACACAAGGGGGACTGAGACACGCTCAGACAAAGGACAAAGAAAAACTGGAGCTACATAAACCGGCACACACAGGTAACCAAGGGAAGTCGACACATCAGAGTAATAACAGCTAAAACTAATAAGACAAAAGACAAAGTCAAACTGGACAAAGTCAAACCAACAGCGAAGTATGAAAACAATTTAACTCTACTGACAACAAGTGGGATGAGAACTAGCGCCGTCTCTGACTGTGACCTGTAAGTGAGAAGTTATAGGCTGTTTCTGTTCAACAAACTCATTTGTCATCAAGTGTCAAGAAATAAATACTGCAAGGAAGAAGAAATGAGTCATTTCCTGGATGTTGTGCTGATTAAGTCATTATTTTGTGGTCTTCCTGATCCAAATTAAAGCCCCGCCTTTTTACCAGAGGTGCAGACCAAGAAGATCTTAGTGCATCTTGATCCAGATCTGTATCTAGAAATGTTGCACTTTACAAGTGCAAACTTTGATGTTTTGCATCGTGTTTTCACAAATACACATCAAACTGAAATAAGAGAAAGCTGTCTCAATGAAATACTGCTGATCCATAGACTGAGTTCATGCAGATGTACTGGGATTTTTCACATTGGCAGAGGTATGAAGTCTTGGGCTGCCCTTGATTTATGTAATCTATTCATCCATCCATCTATCAGTCATCCTGGCTATTTTCAACCAGGATTAGCTGACAGTGAGTAACAGGAGGGATCTTTAGACAGGTCAGCAGTTCATTAATCTATACAGTGGCTACACAGAAAGAACATTTTGGGTTTGAAACTGCTTCTAGGCTTGAGTCTTGCTGTGAGATGTTACTGTGTTCTTCATGCACCTGTTTAGGTTCTTTGTGGGTACTCCAGCTCCCATTTACTGCCCAAAGGCATGTGCATAAGAGTAACTACATTAGACAAAGGTGTAGGTGTTAATGTCAGCGGTTGTAGAAAAATAAATAAAAATTCTAGAGGTGTGAAGAAAGTTTTACTTTGATTCATGTGTCAGAAGATACTGTTGCAGAATCTTTATATGATAAATAGAGCTGAGATGAGAAAAAGCCGAGCAAAGTTTGCAGAAATGTTGCCAGATGTAGTTTTACCTGCATACATACATATTGTAAATAAATAATAGTTTCATTAATTAAGCTCAAACAAACAGATCGTTTAATTGCTTGATATATTTTCTAAATAAGAAGTCAGTAATAGCTGACAGCTGCTGACTTTCATAAAAAAAAAGCTTCCTTTAAATATCAGTGAGACTTCACAGTACTTATAAATCCATTTGTGAAGGACTAAAAAAAATCTTTTCAGAACAAAATCCAAACAGGTCACTGAATATCCATGCTGACAGGGAGATGAGCTTTGCACAGTCAGATGTGTGCTCTTGTTTAATGCATTTACAATGACATTAAGTTTATTTCACGGCAGCCCAAGTCTGGCTTAGATATTTCACAGAGGATTAAAGAGTCTGCTCTCAAGAGAACTGGCAGACAGTCAGCTTCAAATGACTTTGCCTCATCTACAGTTTGCTAAAAATGTATCAATATCACTGGAGAATCACCGCAGCTACTATCAGAGTATTTATAGTCTGTCCTTCTCTGAGCAACTTTACACACTGTTTTGATGACATTGCAGATGTAGTGTGTGCCTCCAGATTTAT